ACGTGGGATAGATTTAGGTTCCTGGAAACTGATGAGTCAAAATCTCAGTATCGAAAAGCTCGGAATACTTGTGCCTCGACCCTCCGTAAGTTTAGAAAGTTGTACGAAGAGAAAATTGTTTAGGAATCCGTAGAATGTCCTTAACGCTTATATTCCTATGTAAACAAAAGGACAAAAAGAAGAGGAAACATCTCTGCACTATGGGGATTCAGTACTGCTGCATCGTTAGTGGAGGACGACTTTGGTAAGACTCAACTGTTATCGAACTACTTTAGCAAAGTATACACCATAGAAGCACTCTTCACGTCAGCGCATACAAATCTCCTCACACATACACTGGATAGCGTGACCATTAAAGAACTCGATGTCTTTGGTTTGCTAAATAAGCTGGACATAGGTAAATCCACGGGGCCCGATGAATTACATCCTAGGCTACTGAAGGAACTATCTAAATTCTTTGAGAAACCTTTAAGTATATACTTTAATCTATCCATAAAGCAGGGTCGTTTACTAAAAGATTGGAAGAACGCCATAGTAAGTCCTGTCTTAAACACAGGTACGAAACATAAACCTGAGAATTACCGACCCGTTAGCTTAACCAGTGTGGTTGTTAAAATTTTGGAAAAGATTATTCGGAAGGAGCTGTTTCAGTACCTCGATGAAAACCGGATACTTTCGGAGAAACAGCACGGTTTCAGAATAGGTTATTCTTGTCTCACTAACTTATTAGTGGCTGGTGAAATCTGGTTCCCACTTAGGGACCAAAATTTACCTGTAGACGTGACCTACATTGATTTCAGCAAAGCTTTTGACAAAGGTTTGCACAACCGGTTGTTATGTAAGTTAATAAATGTTGGGTTTAGAGCCAATCTATTGATGTGGATAAAAGACTTCCTAGTTGGGCGCCAACAAGGAGTACGGGTGAACTTAAAGTTGTCTAGAAGGGAAACTGTGCTTAGTGGAGTGCCCCAGGGTACAGTTTTGGGGCCAGTGCTATTCCTCTTGTATGTAAATGACATTCCTCGTCTCCTATCATCATCGGTCTTGCTATATGCTGACGATGTCAAGATATGGAGAACGATACGATGTAAGGATGATAGCTTAGAACTCCAAAATGACCTGAAGAAATTATCTGAATGGTCTCAAACCTGACAGTTGCTGATAAATACTTCCAAGTGTGTTGTAATGCTTATCGGTCATCAAGGTACAGATACATACACGATGAATAACACTGAGCTACCTGTTTTCCAGACACATAATGACTTAGGAGTCGTCGTTAGCCAAGACTTAAAGACTACTGCACACTGCCGTGCAAAAGCCGCCGAAGGTTTTAGAACCTTATGGTCAATACGTATGGCCTTAAGTCACGACGATGCTAAAAGGTTTTTGTCTTTGTATGCAGTGTTCGTACGTTCTATACTTGAGTACTTCACACAAGCGGCTGGCTCCTGATTAAAAAAGACTGAGCTTTTGGAGAAGGTTCAGCGAACTGCAACTAAACTGATTCCCGGAATAGCGAAGCTTCCGTATGATGCTCGACTGGCCAAGCTAAACCTATTCCCGATGTCATATCTAAGAACTAGAGGTGACTTGATTACAGTTTTCAAATAGCTCAGTGATAAATTTGCACCTGATATTCCCTCATTTTTCTTGTCTTCCAAAACAGAGAATTTACGAGGACACTCCAAAAAACTTCACAAGCCCAGAACAAATTACTTGTCAGCTGACTATCGACTTTCCCATCGAATCATCAATGAATGGAATTCATTACCTCAGCACGTGTTTGAGGCTCGATCCGTCGACTCTTTTAAAAGAAAGTTGGATCAACTGAGAGACCATCATCGCCAGGACTAACACAAGCCATCAGGCCTCCTGTCCCTTCCAAACTGAAATTGAAAACTGAAACTTCCCGCCTTTCAGTGACTGCTGATTACACGTGTTACAACTGGTGATGGAGGTGTCTACGGAAAAAGCGCGACGAGAATTTAGTCGAACCCCATGTGATTCCAAACAAGGCCGCACCTAGTTCAACCCCTCGCCAACCACCACTGCTCGAAACCTCGTCAGATTACTCTGTCTGGGAATTTAAAGTTACAGCGTATCTACAGAGAGTTCCAATGTCCGAACATTTCAACTACGTCGTATTTTATTTGAATGATGAAGCAGTACGAAGGGCTACAGCCAATGGTTTCGTGGCATGTAACACGCTTCCACAAAACTGAAGAATCTTAGATGACTTTTTCCGTGCTCGTGGACACCCAACAGGTGACGATCCAGTTCTTATCACGCCACCAAAAAGCAAGCGAGAACCCAATCGAATACCTTAATTCCATGCAGCAAATCGCAGTACAGGCATTCCCTCGTTTGGATGTCATGAGACGAGAGGAATTAGTACGTTCGTGTTTTGTCGAAGGACTGGTGCCGGGTCCACTAAGAGAACATTTTCTTCGAAGCCCACCAACTGATACACCTGACTTAAAAAGAACAACACCACGTTTCCTGGCTGCAGACAAACTAGCGAATTTATCAGATGCACATCCACCATCAGTGATGACTGTGGAACGATCCACAGAATTTAGTGGCCTAGACAGTTCCCAGAGGACAATGGCTGTTGCCGACTTTTCCAGCCTCGGGCAGCCAAGTTCGAGATGGAATAGACGACCAGCATGGAGCAACTACCATGGGCGCCAAGCCGAATGTATATATTGCAAGAGGTTTGGCAGGAATGCCAGAGATGCGGCCACAACCGTCCCTGTAAACCAGGTAAGCGGCGTATTTGCTATTTATCTTCTTATGTTTATCATGTCAACCCAATGAGGTTTAGGGATAGAGCGCAGAACGTTGAGATAGAAATCTTCACAGGTGACCATATGCCACTTCGACAGCCACCTCGCAAAGTACCAGTGCAGTACCAACCGCAACTGAATGCAATGATATAAGATATACTAGACAAAAAGATCATAGTTCCTTCGTCATTTCCCTGGGCATCACCTATTGTCCTAGTGAAAAAGACTCCTCTCTACGACTGCGTACATTATCGACGCCTTAATGCCATAACTAAACGTGATTCTTTTCCGCCTTCGCGGATCGATGCTACATTAGACGCCTTGAAAGAAGCATGTTGGTTTTCAACTTTGAACCTAGCATCTAGATATTGGCAAGTAGAAGTCCGACCGCAAGATAGAAAGAGAACCGCATTTATAGTACCAAATGGTTTATATGAATTTCAAGCGATGCCTTTTGGTTTAACGAATGCTCCGGCTACTTTCCAAACAGTTTTACAAGACAGAGTGCCCCACAAATGCTTGATATATCTTGACGACATTTGCTGTTGCATTTTGCCAGACCATTGGCAATAAGATCGTGTTCGACCGGACCCAAGGTCATAGTGTGGTTCAGTGTATGATCGCTAACCTTTGACTATCTGCTTAGAAAGTTTGCCGGAATCCTTGATAAAAGATATCTGATCCCATCTTGTTGGGAATACTTTTATTGATTCTCAGATGCCAAACAGCTATTTAGCCATTATTCTTTCTGTTGTCTTGCACGTTAGTTTGTGCTAGAGAAACTCTCGACTGTATAGCACAGATTGTAATATGTGATGTGCTTTGTACTTCTAATATAAGTTGTTTTCTTTCTCAAGTTTTATCCGTTTGAATTGAATGTGGAGTTTTTGTTTTGATGTAATTTAAACATGGGACACTCAAAAATGTTTGATATGCTATACATCGTATCATTAGCAACACATTTGCATCGATTAACACACAGAGGACGAAAACTTTTATGGACCAGCGAGTGTCAATAGGCGTTCGATGCTTTGAAAGCACGGTTAACCTCCCCACCTATATTAGCCTTCCCGGATACTTCAGCAGACGGAGGAGAATATATACTTGATACGGATGCTAGTTCCTCGGCTATTGGAGCAGTAATATCACAAGTAGCTCAAGATGGACACGGAAGGGTCGTTGCTAGTCGACGACTAGATAAGAGTGAAGCACGGTATTCCACAACACGTCGAGAGATGTTGGCACTAGTAAAATCCTTACAACATTTTCGTCATTATCTACTGGGCAAACCCTTTCGTGTGCGCACGGATCACCGTGGATTACAGTGGCTCCGCTCTTTCCGCGAACCAGAAGGGCAAGTGGCACGCTGACAGGAACGGCTACAAGAGTTTGATTTCACATGCGAGTATCGACCGGGAAACTGATATACAAACGCGGATGCCCTTTCCCGAATACCTCAAACCACAGATACTGTTAACGCAATTCTTAGTATAGCTCTGGAGAATGATTGGCCCTCCCCGCAAGCAACAGATCCGGACCTGCAGATTATTTACCAAAGACAGTTACACGGAAACAATAAGCCATCTATGAAGGAGTTAAAAGATCAACCATTAAAAACTCGTCGAATTTGCACTAAATGGAGCAACCTAAAACTATATGGTGACACATTCCTAATTAATGAATCGAAACAACCCCTACTGATAGTACCGCGAGTGAAAGTCGAGAGCATTGTGGAGCAGGTACATCGCGAACTTGGTCATGCGGGAGAACGAAGGACTGAATACACTGTCCGTCAGCGCTTTTGGTGGCCATCCATACATGAAGATGTAGTGCAATTTTGTAAGAATTGGAACACGTGTTACCGTTTTAAATCGCCTCAGCAGACACCCCGTGCACCAATGACGCCGATGGTGACAACAGGACCACACCAGCGAGTTGGCATAGATATAATGGGACCATTGACAACGACAAAAGACGTGAATCGCTACATACTGGTTATGGTGAATTATTTCACTAAATGGTGCGAAGCAGTACCCATTCCGCAGCAAGACGCCCTTACTATTGCCTGAGCTTTTATTGATCATTGGGTGTAAAATGTGATTGATTCCACAATTCAGTGTAAAGAGGTTCAATCAGAGGTTTCCTCCTTAGACTCGTCTTCGTCATTTAGAATCCCAAATGTATGGGCAGTCAAGAGGTTACCTATGTTGCGCAGGACGGTACCAACGACGTCTCAAATGAAATCCTGGACGCATTTAAAAGACATAAGTTTTCCTAGAGTAGAGGATGAGAATGTCGAACTGTTGATCGGGTGTAACGCACCGAGTGTACACGAAATGGAAGAGGTAAGAACTGGAAAGCCGAATGAACCATTCTCCGTGAAGACTCTGTTAGGTTGGACGCTGTTCGGTCCCTATGGGGAACCCTGTAAAAGCAATCGTGTACTCAATCACCTCTCAGCCAAAGAGGAATTAGAGGATAAGTCTGAACAATCGTATTCAACTGAATTCAAAGACCGACTTAGTCGTACTTCATCGATGTCTGTGGAAGATCGCATAGCATCATCAGAATCTGCATATGGTGTTGCGGAGTATACTCGTTCCGAAGATGTCTCTCGTCAAGTTCATTGTTCGTTTTTATTAACTAAGTATAAGGTTGTTAAGCCAAAAACTGAAGCATCATCTGCTAATAAATCCAAATCAACTCTAAGAAAGCTTAAGGAAAAGAAGGACATCAAACTGAAAGTGAAGACTACGAAAAAGCCGAAGACCACTGTAACGAAGAAGCCAGTAACTAAGACCCTGAAGAAGCAGGTAGCACATATTCGCCGTGGTATCGAGGATGGTGTTGAGAAAGGCGCCCTTGTACGAGTTATGAACAAGAGTAACGGTGCATCTGGTAGTTCTATAGGATCCAATGCTATTCTTAGACAGATCATGTGTAGTTGGAATCAGAATAAGACAGTAAATGCCCTTTTAGAGAGAGGTTGTGAATGGCGCTTTGAAATTCCGAGGTCTAGTCAACGAGACGGTGTATGGGGACGCATCATAAAGTCGATAAGAAGAATTCTGCGATCACTATTGTTTCAGAAGGTATTGATGGATGAGTCTTCGAGAGACTTAGTGTTATTAAACAATGTTGGCTCACTGAGAAGTCTATGGTCCAAAGCTATTGTTGAACAAGTAAGCTATGGCTTTGACGGACAAGTTCGTACGGCGAAATTGAGAACTGCAAACGAAGAAACTGCTCGGGACGTACGACGCTTATGTCTACTAGAAGGAGCCAGCTGTCTGATGGCGACGACGACCCTGGACAACGGACGTGGTGTGCGTTTCGGGGGGAGTGTAAAATGTGATTGATAGACGAACCCACCAATAATAAGGGAAACGCCCACCACCACATCAACTCCTTTTGACCTTGTACGACTGTATCTCTTTATTAACCAATCACAGTTTAATGTTCATTGTAAAACAATATTGGCTTGTTGACTCATTTTTCCTATTCTCTGGCTACTGTTCGGTATGTTATTTGTCTCTGTTTTTCCCTGTATTAATAGACCGTACTGTTTGTTTGTACACTAACGATGTTAATTTATGTTTTAGAAACAGATAAAGTTTATCTAGCCAAATAGCTTGCTTGTTCTGACTTTGGCTAAACCAAGACTCTGTACTCGACAGTCTAGAGATTAGCTTAGAGTTGAATCTGTGGGAAATTGCTTCCTACATTGGGTCTTCCGTTATGGTGCCCCAGTCTCACTTCATTCCGACCAAGCTCCAGCCTTTGAAAGTCATCTCATCACTGAGATATGCCAGCTATTAGAAATCAGGAAGATACACACTACTGCATGTCACCCAGAAGGTAACGGCCTCGTGGAAAGAACAAACAGAACTACTAAAGCCATCTTACAGTCGTTAGTCAGCAGATCGTCACCTGAGTTATGGGATGATGTGCTTCCTCAATGTCTTTTAGCATGTCGTACGTCGGTACACGGGATTCTCACCTGCTATTTACTGTTCGGGCACGAATTACGCTTACTGGTAGAGATACAGTCGCCCCTGCTGCCCTGCGAAGAACAAGAGCATGTACTGTACATACGTACTCTCCGCAACCGCCTAGCTGATGCAGACCGCCTGGTCAACATTAAATTGCGCAAGGCTAACGGACACCCAAAAGACATGTATGATCGTCAGGTGCAAGGACCGATGTATACGGTCGGAGATCGCGTCTGACTACGCCGCCCCATGACATCGCTAGGGAGTTGCAGTAAATTCCACCAGCTCTGGTAAGGTCCTTTCGAAATTGTCCTCATCTGATCCCCCACTACGTTTGTATTGCGTAACATACAACGACCTAAGGACGACGTGATAACGGTACACTACAACCAAATAAAACCGGATCGGATGACAGTCCCCTTCGATGCTCAGTTCGCCGACCCACCGCCGGCCACTAGATTTTATGAAGCACCATCAGAAGGAGGAACAGCATACCCATGCCCAAGACCAGGCACTGAGGACAGTGCCTCATTAGGAGAGGGGACGATGTAACGGGGTTAGAATCATCATGTATGGTGTTGTTAATAGATTCTGTTTTTCTTTCTATTGCAGGGCAACCAAGAATAGATGCTTTAGAAGAAGAAGAGCAAGCTCCGCATGCACTGAACCTACAGGATGACCCATAATACTGTTTTGTAAACTAGCTCTCCCTTCTGTACATAACCCGCGAATTTTAATTTTCGAAATAAACGACTGGTGGTTCCCATTCCGTGTTCTCTCTCTGCTGTGAAGTGCTCGGTTAACATTATGTGCGTTGTGGTTTTAGGTCTTCTCGCCTTTCAATGACTGTTGATTACACGTGTTACAACGTGATGCAAGTAAGTGATGTGCTCTCCGTTTTTCATGTTCATTAGTCCAATACGATTATTTCAATTGAAGTCACTGAGAGAGCTCGTAGACGTAGGGTCACTATTAACTTGTCAAGCGTCGTTGGCTGTTATAGATCGACTTATAACAGACGGTGGAATAAAATACGAAAGGCTTTCATGGAAAAACGTAACTTGCTTTCGTTTAGTCAGTTTGCGCATATATACTTGGCGCACTCTTGTACCAATATTTATGTGTTCAAATAAATAGATAAATTAGTCAGTTTGCAAATGAAAGCACGATCAAAGGTAACTGACTTTAACAGTGGTGTATGTTTAATTGATAGCAGTCGAGAGAGAAATTAATGATAATGAGAATCACTCAACTGTTACACTATCCACTAGCTACAGCAATCAAAGGCTTCTAGATAATAATGGTATATATATGAAGTGAATACGTTAATATATTTCTTATAGGATGTAATGACGTTAATTTATGCTCTCAAAAGTCCGTAAATCGTAAAGAGCAGATCGATAATGTATTGATGAAATTAATCACAAAAAGCTTTCTTAGCATCAGTGATGCTGATCAAATTCTGAATGGTTTCCGAGACCTGGTTCCGGACTTACCAAGGAGCATCAGAAGTATCCTGAGGACATGCACAAGTGACCGAACAAAGTTCATCATCAGGTTGCAACGGGTGTTCTGTACTTAGGAGACGGCTTGAGAAGACGACTTTTCCAAATGGTGAATATACGTTAAGAACGGACGACGCCTTTCGTCGTCAGACTCAATCTATTAATCATCAAGGCCATTCGATCGTGGAAACGCTTTCAATTAATATGATCTCTCCTTTAGATCCTATGCACATGGTGTACCTAAGTGTCACGAAAAAGCTAGCTAATCTCTGGATAGAACTCTCACATAAAAGACTGCTTAACATGAACTCATGCGCAATTAGGGACACAAATAATTTAATATCTGGTTGCGTGGCAAGTACTCCCTTCGATTTGCAGCGTAAATGCCGTACACTAGACTTCGTATCGGTATGGAAAGCTTCGGAATGAAGGTTGTTCCTTCTATATTTAGGCCCAGTGATTCTGTAAAAGACATTGCCGCAACCATTCTATCTTAATTTCCGGCGTTTAGCGTTATCCACTTATTTGCTTTCACACCCTAAATTACGTAATACCGTTGTAGAATCCATCAGAATAGATTTACGAAGCTTTCTTAAAGAATACGAATGGTGTTATGGGTCTGAAAACTTAGTTTACGATGTGCGTTTGTTACAGCACTTTCCTAACGACGTCCGTGAACATGGACCTTTAGATAGTTTTTCAGCCTTTCCATTCGAGTCTTACATGGACACTGGTTTGCAGCAGAAAGAAACCAGGGACAGATTTGTAAGTCAACAACATTAATTCTATAATTTGTTCGTATTGCAGATGCCCATGTTAACGAGGTTAATGGATAATGATCCTAAAACCTCAATGCGATATGTTTTGTCGTACCCCATGACACCTGAGGTTGCCAGTAGTTTCACGCCACTTGGCACTTCGTCAAAACGAGCACTCCAGAAATGCCGGTTTTACGACTGTATATGAAGTAACCTTTATCTACTATTTAAACTTCAGATGCATTAACCAATCGCTTTTTGACATCATCTATCAACCAAAAAGACCTTGCGAAACTGTACGATATCGCGACACAAGGTTATTTTCATGACGTCAGAGACAAATTAATAAAGCGTAATCGAAAGAAACAAGAACAGGTATGTACTAATTTAAAGTGATAACTTCCCTACTGCTCTATAGTTACAGTCGATGGTGTTATGTCAACATCACTGATGATGAACTTTGTTCGGTCACTTGTGCATGTCCTCAGGATACTTCTGATGCTCCTTGGTAAGTCCGGAACCAGGTCTCGGAAACCATTCAGAATTTGATCAGCATCACTGATGCTAAGAAAGCTTTTTGTGATTAATTTCATCAATACATTATCGATCTGCTCTTTACGATTTACGGACTTTTGAGAGCATAAATTAACGTCATTACATCCTATAAGAAATATATTAACGTATTCACTTCATATATATACCATTATTATCTAGAAGCCTTTGATTGCTGTAGCTAGTGGATAGTGTAACAGTTGAGTGATTCTCATTATCATTAATTTCTCTCTCGACTGCTATCAATTAAACATACACCACTGTTAAAGTCAGTTACCTTTGATCGTGCTTTCATTTGCAAACTGACTAATTTATCTATTTATTTGAACACATAAATATTGGTACAAGAGTGCGCCAAGTATATATGCGCAAACTGACTAAACGAAAGCAAGTTACGTTTTTCCATGAAAGCCTTTCGTATTTTATTCCACCGTCTGTTATAAGTCGATCTATAACAGCCAACGACGCTTGACAAGTTAATAGTGACCCTACGTCTACGAGCTCTCTCAGTGACTTCAATTGAAATAATCGTATTGGACTAATGAACATGAAAAACGGAGAGCACATCACTTACTTGCATCACGTTGTAACACGTGTAATCAACAGTCATTGAAAGGCGAGAAGACCTAAAACCACAACGCACATAATGTTAACCGAGCACTTCACAGCAGAGAGAGAACACGGAATGGGAACCACCAGTCGTTTATTTCGAAAATTAAAATTCGCGGGTTATGTACAGAAGGGAGAGCTAGTTTACAAAACAGTATTATGGGTCATCCTGTAGGTTCAGTGCATGCGGAGCTTGCTCTTCTTCTTCTAAAGCATCTATTCTTGGTTGCCCTGCAATAGAAAGAAAAACAGAATCTATTAACAACACCATACATGATGATTCTAACCCCGTTACATCGTCCCCTCTCCTAATGAGGCACTGTCCTCAGTGCCTGGTCTTGGGCATGGGTATGCTGTTCCTCCTTCTGATGGTGCTTCATAAAATCTAGTGGCCGGCGGTGGGTCGGCGAACTGAGCATCGAAGGGGACTGTCATCCGATCCGGTTTTATTTGGTTGTAGTGTACCGTTATCACGTCGTCCTTAGGTCGTTGTATGTTACGCAATACAAACGTAGTGGGGGATCAGATGAGGACAATTTCGAAAGGACCTTACCAGAGCTGGTGGAATTTACTGCAACTCCCTAGCGATGTCATGGGGCGGCGTAGTCAGACGCGATCTCCGACCGTATACATCGGTCCTTGCACCTGACGATCATACATGTCTTTTGGGTGTCCGTTAGCCTTGCGCAATTTAATGTTGACCAGGCGGTCTGCATCAGCTAGGCGGTTGCGGAGAGTACGTATGTACAGTACATGCTCTTGTTCTTCGCAGGGCAGCAGGGGCGACTGTATCTCTACCAGTAAGCGTAATTCGTGCCCGAACAGTAAAATAGCAGGTGAGAATCCCGTGTACCGACGTACGACATGCTAAAAGACATTGAGGAAGCACATCATCCCATAACTCAGGTGACGATCTGCTGACTAACGACTGTAAGATGGCTTTAGTAGTTCTGTTTGTTCTTTCCACGAGGCCGTTACCTTCTGGGTGACATGCAGTAGTGTGTATCTTCCTGATTTCTAATAGCTGGCATATCTCAGTGATGAGATGACTTTCAAAGGCTGGAGCTTGGTCGGAATGAAGTGAGACTGGGGCACCATAACGGAAGACCCAATGTAGGAAGCAATTTCCCACAGATTCAACTCTAAGCTAATCTCTAGACTGTCGAGTACAGAGTCTTGGTTTAGCCAAAGTCAGAACAAGCAAGCTATTTGGCTAGATAAACTTTATCTGTTTCTAAAACATAAATTAACATCGTTAGTGTACAAACAAACAGTACGGTCTATTAATACAGGGAAAAACAGAGACAAATAACATACCGAACAGTAGCCAGAGAATAGGAAAAATGAGTCAACAAGCCAATATTGTTTTACAATGAACATTAAACTGTGATTGGTTAATAAAGAGATACAGTCGTACAAGGTCAAAAGGAGTTGATGTGGTGGTGGGCGTTTCCCTTATTATTGGTGGGTTCGTCTATCAATCACATTTTACACTCCCCCCGAAACGCACACCACGTCCGTTGTCCAGGGTCGTCGTCGCCATCAGACAGCTGGCTCCTTCTAGTAGACATAAGCG